TTTGAGATGTGGCTTGCGACCAGAGATAGGCGTCCACATTTTGCTCAGATAACATGTATTTAATCAAAGAGACGACAAGTGTAGGGAAGGCCTGATATCTGCAAACATTGGAATCAGAGCTTAAGCGCTTACGCTCAGTAAAGCGGCAGTGTATCTGCTTCTAGGGCCTTGAGAAGTAGCGCCTGGAGTGAAATGCACACAGGAACTGGACCCGAGGGAAATCGGTCAACCAGAAAGATAAGGAACGGATCCACAAGACAATGAAAGGATCTGGATTGGAGGCCCGAATCGGGTTGGGGTAAATAGCAAGTGTGATGAGGCCACTCTCGGTTTACCACAAAGGGCACACATTTTGATGGGACGGCAGTGGGAAAAGAGGGTAAATGGAGTCTTCCAAGCAGTTTCCTGCTTCAAGGTAAACGAATGCGATACGATATTATTTGTCGCAGACTCATGGCCCTGAAAAACTTTTGCTTTTTATTTTAAGAGCCCACATGTATCATTTCAACATTGTTCACTTAATAAATGAATGTAACCATTTTATATTTTATTGCTTATTTTGCTCTTATTAAATGTCTTACCTAAATAAATAGTTAATAGAAATAGCTCTATGGATTACTATTTGCCTACTATGCTTTACTGTCTCACTTATAGTCCTTACTGCTTGTTTAAGTTCCTTAGGATAAGCCATTGCTTTAATATTTATAAATTATAATAATCCTGAATTTGCCTATACTAGCAATGCTCTGTCTGTTTTATCTACCAATCTGTGATATCTTGCCTCAAAAGTTGATTGGCTGTCCATTATTCAGCAATTCATTCATTGGTGGATTATTATTTATAGCCAAACCTCCTTATATGCCTAAATATTTCTTTCTTGGGCTTACATCCATAGTCTATGTATTTTTTATATTTTTGGTGACATGAATATATACCTAACTTATACATCCCTCTATGCATAAGCCGGCCAATCCAATGTAAACACCTTAGCATACTCTTGCACTCTTCTGTTCTCTAAAGTAGGAAATGAACGTCTAAGTCTAGTCTTGAATCACAGGATCTTTACCATCAAATCATTGCCTGTCCCGGTCAGTCAGTTATGAGTATTCATTTACGAGAAGCTAGAAATGTGAATGAGCTTATATACAAATCTGCGTACATAGAATCCATGTCCAGTCTTCGTCTTGATTTATTTTCCATATCTAGATTGCAAAAAGCCAAGGCCCCAGCCTCCTTAACCTTATAAACTAATACATTTTCAACTTCTTTAGCGCACGTTTAGTGCCTACTCTCTTGTATGGTTCGCTATTTCATTCTGTTTTAGGTTTAAGTATGCATTTATTTCTATGTGTTTCAAGAACGCTTTCATGAGTGGATCCATTCCTTTGATTGGCTTTACGATATTCATGGACTCTTGCACCATCACTGAACTCCACTTTAACCTGGAATATTTTATCATTGCTTTTCATCCCATCAGGGGCGCGTAGCACTTCTTCGCTGGACAGCAGCTGAGTCAGGGACACCATTCGAGAGGCTCAGCCCCGAAGAGTTGCAGGCTGTCCAAACAGGGAATATTCTGGAGGCAAAATCCGACAACCGGGACACTCAGGAAGACGGGAATGAACTAGAGCTAGCAAGAACAGAAGAATACGGAAAGAGTGATAAGGAAAATGAAGAACTAGCAAAAGAAAAGTGTAAGCAGCTCTATGAAAAAACGATTATGCAAAATATTTCATATATGGGTCCTACCGCTTCTTCAGCACAGGCGGATGTGGCCGACAGCAGAGTGTTCCAGATCGCTGTTTCTGCATCGCCTGATACTACCTCTTTTATCGGCACCAATCCTCATAGTGCCGTTGAAATTTCTTCAAATAACTCCCAATCACCCACATCTGTAGACACCTTGAATATTGACAGGGTGAAAGAAGTCAGCTTGCACTCAGCAAACATGCAAGCCGATGGGCGTCTCAGGTCAGAGGGTGAAAAGAACCAGTTTTTGACGACTAAACGACAGTTGACCACTGGGAGGCAGATAGGCGCTCAGTCAGGTGGAAATTTGGTGGGATTAGAAAAAATGAGACCCGTAGAGGGCGAAAGGCAAGAGAAAGAAGATAGAAAATGCGAAAAAAAAGCAGAGGAGGATGAAGAGGGCAAAGAAGAAAATGAGACCAATGCAGACGAGGTTAGCTTAATATTTTCCTGTTTTTTGTCACATATAATTTGTATTTTAACTGCATACTCTTTATCAATCGATTATTATATGCATTTAGAAACTTAGGCCTTATAAAGTTGCTTAAACTCAGACATAACGGGAAATCGTCTGGAACCTAGTTGCTTATACCTCTTGGCAGACTTCCGTTTTCATGTAGCAGCGCTTATTTTACACTGTCCCTCTGGCCATATGTGGTATGGTCCAGTATAAATATTATCATGCACTATTTTTACTTTATCTTTGAATCTGCTTCTTCTCTGTTGATCTTACTTGCTGTTTAATTGAGAAAATATGATCTCCGATTAAGCATACTTTATTTTTTAATATCTATCAGATTTTCTCTTGGCATATATATTTGCGCTTATTTGATTGTCAAAGTCTCCCTTTCATTAACACTAAATCACTATACTACATGGATCAATCTGGCAGAGTCTTCTAATAGAACAAGCGCATTATTATGAGAAAGGCTAGACTTGGCGCCACATTTATTTGAAGCAACCGGGCTAGATACAAAACAAATTAATTATTTTAATTATCTTTTTCGAACTAAAGCTCCTTTGGTAGAGTTATTAGCTTTGCTATCAGCATACTACTACTTAGGACCAATAAATTTTCTTTACTAGTACTAATAAGGGTAGATAAATGTGTCATCCAACGATAGTGTTGGTTTAAGAGAGCAAGCATATTCATTATTGTGTCTTGCGGTTAGCCGGACTCAATATGCCAATACAGATAAATTATATATGCTAAATACTCAGGCTTTTATGAAACCGATTTAAATCTATTTCAATCAACAATAATTAACGATGATTGAAAGGTAATTTCAAAAGCACCATTTTATTATTTGTACTCAGATGTCCGACTTTGTTAGCTATTTGCTCATTACTAGATGAGGTATGAATAGGCAGCCACAGTTCACAATTTATTTGAAGTTTGGGGCTAAATGGTTTTCATAACCCTATTACTCCTGTTTTCCTCTTAAATTTCACTATCCAATCCAACTATAAGGCAAAACCATGTCCGAAACTCTTTTTGAAGCCTTCTTTACTTTTTTACGACTATTGTCCAAAAATTACAAGAAAGCAAAATGAGCTATTTCACATATGTGTTATCCTAACGATTCCTCAAAAGCTAACTGGGTGGCAAATTTTTAAAATTCTTAAATACATAATTAAAGAATTGTTTTAAAATGAACTTTAATTTTTTAGTTTTATTTAAAAGTACATCCTTAAGCATTTAAGTAAATGTTGTTTTTGGCATATTACTTATTTGTCACTGAAGCATATCTTAGTGTGTCCTGTGAGTATTACCAGTGGCTTCAAGCGAAATATCGCAGCATGAAAATATTGTGGCCCCACACTGTATTTGCGTCTTGTATTTATGTATTGGAATAACTCATGCATACCATTCACGCTGTTGCTTTTTAGAAAGACCCATAAGCGAGTAATATAGCAGTAGCTCAATTATTCACGCTGTCCGTGTTCATTCCAATCTGGAAAATAAAACCTTTCACGATCCAAAAAAGGGTTTTATTTAATGTCAATGTAAGACCTACTCATTTGGTCGTTGTAATGTCCTTAAATAATCTAGGACGGCTGAGCTCTAATTAAAGTTAACGCGAAGAACTACAAATAACGACTTGTTTACGATTGCCTCTGCTATAAATGCCTCATCTAGTCCTAGTAATGTTATTAAGAGATCCTCTATTGTTTCTCTCATATGATCAGATTCTTCTTCCAGTAAACTAGATCTTAGGTCTTTTGTAGTTGATTGTTAAACTTATTTTTATGATAAAGAGCTCGATCAACTTCAGTTTTGTGCTTTAAACCTTATTTTGTAAAGCCTTCATACGATAGCACCGGGTAAAAATTGGCATTATCAAGTAGCTTATGACTGACTTTATCGCAAAACTGCTGGGTCAGTCACAGCAAAATGCCTAATTGATCTTCTTTATTAGGTTGAAACATTACGAGATTCAAACAGTAAAATAGATAGTTAGAGTGTCCAGTTTCTATTTTAATTCCAGTAATTTAGATGCGAAAAAAGTTGAGTTTTGAGAAATCTATTCTTTCAAAATTGTTGAGTTTACTTCCATTTTGAGTGAAAGTGTTTGATGAAAAGATTCGAAGGTCGATTCCACCAGAAGACGACGGTGGATTCCTCTTGACCAGCTGTCGATTGGCTTTTCTAGAAGATTCATGCTGACGCTGTTTCCGAGGTGATCTCCTTCGATTCCGTTGAAAAGGTGCTAAGCTTTCGCCCATCATATGACTAGCATCATTCTCACAACCGAATTCAAGTGATACCCTACGAGTACTTCAAATATCTAGATGCAGAAACTCGCTATATTCACTTAAACGAGCAGATCTTTCACTTATGCGCCTGTGAAATACGCAGATTCTGTTCCATTTATTATGATGGAATCCACCTGTAAGTGAGTTCTCTCATTTGTTGTCAGATATTAAATTTGTCTGTCATTTGGTTGAAACTAAGACTATCTTAATTCTTTATCTCTTGGAGCTCTTAATTTAACAACGTTACCCGTGAAAAATAAATTGAGTAATCGCATACGATAAACCAAAAAAAAGAATTCATGACGTATTTTGATATATTTTATAGTCCAGGAGAGCTCAATGTTATTCACACTAGAATTATTTAGCTTTTTCCTTTATTTTTTCAGAACAACGTCTTATTTTAAGGAATTTTATTTTTATATTACTTAAACTTAATCAATGAAAAGATTTAATG